TTGTTACCAACATCTGGTGAAAATTTCATGTCATTAGCACCTCTAGTAATATACTTACTGAGAAAAATGATGACGTGTTCAATATTTGTTTTACCCGCTGTATAGGTCAACCTGTCATCTTATGTAGAAACACAGYATTTCCACTCAGCCATTTCATCCATTAGCCCAATGACTAGATAAGGCTACAGTGCAGATAGTTTTCAATCATGTTGCTAACTTATCTTGATATATTGAGATTAAACATGAAATACAACAACAAGATATACTGTATTTAGATTAGATTTAACCACACATGTAGATTTGCACTCTTTATAAGGCTACAAAACCATATTTTATCAATTTTTGAAATGTCCCATGARCCTTTGCTGCTTGAGCAGACTTTTTCCAAGTGCACAGACTGAAACAAAAGTGGGCCACTGCACTGGCTGCAAGTTTAATTGTTAAAAATACAGGATTTTGCTTAAAAAATATTTGTATTTCATGTATTATATTACTGCATTTGGCCCCATAATCTGCTGCTACTCCAAACTTCCTTATCTCCTATATCTCCTATATTTTGTATATTTATGTTTCTATTTTTATTTACTCTATTCTACTTGTTCTATCCTTTTTTTTATCCATTGTATCTGTATTTCAATTGCTTATGTGTAACTGGACCGTGAGAATACAAATTTCGTTCTACCACATGTATACCACATGTGATGCGAATGACAATAACATCTCTTTGAACCCCTTGAATCCTACAGCCCCGGTAAGATTTTCATTTTGGCTCTCTTGGGGAAAATGTTTGGGCACCCCTGTTCTAGTCCTTGTATCTAATCCTGGCAGCATTGAGCAATGGGTACAAACTGAGGAAAGCAGACAATTAAAGGACAAAAAAGGTGTCATGCCTCTAATAACCCTCTGCAGCACATGAACAATATCTGAAAGTCTTATGTTTAAAAAATGAAATTGTCCAGCAGAGACCTGATTAAAGCATCACCCTTCATCATGCCAGGTTTTCAGATAATAGCTCTCTGATGCTAAAATAAAACTATGTGTCAAAGATTTATTCATACAAAAAAGAAATAGGAGCAAACTGTGTCTTTGTGACTAAGACAAAATTATCTATTTGCTTCACGTATTCATTCAAAATAGTTGATATCAAACGTCATTTTCATGTATGAAACTACAATGGACTAGTTCTACAAACACTCTTAATAACACTTTTTTCAACTAGCCTGCTTCAAATGTTATCATTGCATTAAATGACAATTATTAGCAGTTATCACGTCCATGAATTAGCTTCAGATTCAAACTTGTGCAACTAGTGCTACGTTTGCTCTACAAGTTGCAGAAGTCATGCTAGCCAAGCATTTTGTTACACAACTAGTCCAAAAGTCTAAACTAATTAGATTTTTGATGCAATAGTGATGCACTGGACCAAACTATTCAACAACTGTGTGTAGTATGAGTTACCTAAATAGCATAAAAACTGTTGCATTAAATTATGACAATTAGTTGACTAGTGACTGCCAAATTTGTGTACTAGTCAACTGGTAACCATTAAAATAGTCAGTTGACACATTCTTGTCTTTACTGAACTTTCACCTAGTCAACCTAAAATGCTAAAAGCCTCCAAACAACCACTATTTGACGAGTGCAACTAAATTTAGTCTCATTTGTCAACTAGTTGAAGCTTTACTGACCTTTCTGGTGGTTAGACTGGTTGTTCATCTCCTGAGTTCAGGAACATTTTCATACCTGAATGATTTATAGGTCAGAGTTAAGTGCCTGAACAAATGAGAAACATTTCTCTGAATATGGCCATTTCATAGAAAAGGTTTAAAAGTTCTTCAGAAAGCCTGAAGAAATATTCAGCAAGATCACAAGAACATCTTGGAAAGCAAAACATAAACAGTGGAGGGATGCAACATAAAAACAGATTTGAATATACCATAACTGTTTTAATCCACTACTTTTTAAGTAACTGACATCCAAATTTTTGCAAAGTTAACATGAAACACCATCTAAGCTTTCCAAACTTCATCTCATTATCCCTGATCCCGGTCTTATTTCCTGTGTCTTCTTTTGCATCATGAGAACATTATAAAACGATACAACAAATACATTAACACCAATAAGGTTCACTGTGTTGCAAGTCTTGGATGTTTTTTTATTTACAAGTTGTTGAGCATTTTATTATTATTATTATTATTGTTGTTGTTGTTGTTGTTGTTGTTGTTGTTGTTGTTGTTGTTGTTTTATTTAGATCCATTTTTGCAAGCATGATTTCTTGTGAAGCTCAGTTACATTCAGTGACACTCTTTGCAGTAAGAAGAATGACACAAAATTCAGGTCTTAACCTGAGCATTTATTTGTTGTTGTTCAGGGATTTATTATTATTATTATTATTATTATTGATTTTTTTTTTTCTGTGAGTACCTGTGTTTTCTAAATCGATGTTGGAAAACCCATTTGTTGATATTTGCATAGGTCTTTTGCCCCTCAGCGGATGCCTTGTCCACTTCGACGAAAGAAAATCAGTACATCACAAATAAACCATGCAAAAACAATGAAAGGCACAATCACCATAGATATATCAAATACACTAAAATGCCTTGGGTTTATATAACTCATTGTTGTGTATGGGTGTTCTAACTGAAACATAATCTGGGTGTAATTTTAAGCTGCCAAAACATCAGGGTACAACATGAAACATAAGAAACATTCAAGGCCTTCAATGCCTTTTGTTGCATTGTTGAACAGCTTTTCTAAAACCTATATGAGAAAATATAAGCATTTATAATTAAGATTTTTAACTACATTTCTTTTTTTATGTCTCCTGCTTTTTTTCCCCCTCAGATCATAGTGTAACATTTCAGGTATCACATTTTCACAGTTTTGGATCAGTTCGCTCTGAAACTTACACCTTTATGACAATAAACCACCACATGTTTCATTTTTGCATGAGCAAGATAGAACATAATGTTAATAATAATAATAAAGGAACTGCAGAGTTATTTATGGTGATTTTGTTTTTACACCTATGCACATCCACCTGTGATTTTTCCTTATTACCCTATTTTCCTCACTGCACATTCTGTCATTTTCACAGCAAGCAACAAAAGAGTCTGAATGCCCCAATATATTTCACTGCGTATTTATGTGTGTGCGCTCACTGGATTTATCACCTTAGATACCCTGCTGCACATCAGGATTTGACAAGACACATCGTAATAATCTTTAAAACAAACAAACAAAAAAAGAACAGGATAATATGAGTCATTTTATAATAAATTAGCACACTTCAAGTGCACATACTTTTTTCATTCAAAGGATTACTGCCATAAAGAAAAAAAAACAGGAATATAGGAAAATTTAATATCATGCATTCTGTGATTGAAACACCCACACAACACACAATCAGAAATAAATCCAGAGACAGTCAAACTCACCAACAGTGATGTATTTAGACCATGTTGTTTTACTGCAATATCACACTGGCATCCATGCAGCCGGTGCTGTGCTAAATGGACCCTCAAGAGGGCAGTGTTTGGCTATGGCACATACATAATCTCGGAGTATATGGTGACCATGAAATTGACATTTAGAGCAAGCCCTTTGTGTATTTATTTAATATCCTTGATATCAAGTCTTTTTTTGCCTGCTAGTTCACGACAACACAGAACTGGTTCAACAAACTCTCTTACTAACAACATACTGTATTTTTGCACTTAGAATTCTACTTTTGTCCTACTAGCTGGAATAGAAGTCATACTAGTCCACCATTTTGTGGCACTAGTACCTCAAAACTCCCAACTAATTGGTTTCAAGACCCAMTAGGGGACCACTGGACCAAACAAATTGACAACTGTGTCAAACAAGTTATTAAAAACCTTTTCATTTTCAACACAAATGATGCAGAATAGTTGACCAGTGCAACCTAAAATGTGAACTAGTCAACTAATAAACACTAAAATTGTTACTGTACCAACTGATACATTCTTGTCTTTATTGGTTAATTAAGGAAGTTATAGTTAACTAGTTCACCTAACGCCTTGTAATTAATTCATAAGTCTCCAAACAACCACTTTTTGACAAGATCTAAATTTGGCCTTACTTGTTAACTACTAAAACCCAAAATGTTCAGTACTAGTTAAAGCTTGTTTGGCCTTACTAGTGAACGACTGTGCCTGAAATGTTGACCAGTCAGGCTTAAAATATTCACCAGTCAACAGGTGGGACTAAATTTGGCCTTCCTAGTTAACTAGTAACACCCAAAATGCTCACTACACTATTGGCCTTACTTGTGAACTAGTTATAAATGTCAACTAGTGAGCATTTTAACATTTAGTTCTCGACTAGTTATACTTGTTGAATAGTATTAGTAGTAGGCAAAATAGTGTTAAGTTACCATGCCAATGTTTTTGATGCTTATTAGCCAACTTGTATAACTTGTGGTCCAATATTGTGTTAAAAACCCAACTAGTTGGTACTTTTTGGCTACTAGTGTGACAAAATGCTTCACTAGCATGACTTCTGCTCCTACTAGTTGGGCAGCGTTGCCACTACTTGGCAAAAAATGTGTTACCAGTAAAAGTGTTGGTAACCAAATTAGTGCAGTGCAAACCGGTGGGAAAAAGTGACAGTTGATGTCAAATATATCAAATAAATACACACATGGCTTGCCATACACACTGCGGAAAAGACACCACTTTTGACCTCCCGGCCCTCGCAGTTTGAAAATGAGCACAGAGGTGAGACGTTCAGAGCAGATTCTCACACAATGTTGTGGACTGGAGTCCTGAGAGACTTTGACATCTAACGGAGCATTACAAACTGTTTTTTTTATATATATTTACAAGAAAAATGAATGATCAACATTGTTTAAGTTTTTTTTTCTCACCACATTTAGCTCATCAGTACACCTTCTCACACACAGGATCAAAACAAAAATCACAAAAGAAGAAAAAAAAACCAACAAGCACACGGCACGCTGCTAAAACTTTGACTCAAAATATCCAACAGTGCAAACTTACATCCATGTTCTCGAATCATTTACAAACATTTGTATACACTTGAGCACCATAGTTTACTATTGTTGCTGAATACATATCAGTAAGCTAGATCTTTTAAAGTGGACGTGGTGGCTAGAGCTAGATGTTTTAATAATAAAAAGGGCAGGACATTTATGGGGTGAATGTGAGGAAAATGTCCATGATGACAGTTACTGAAGGTAATGAATCGGGGATGAGATGTTTGCTCTGAGGCATTAGGAATTTAATCACTTCCCTTTTTTCTAGCAAATAACCTCTTGATTATGTCTACTTGTATAAACAGATGTTTTTGGTGTTCACATGGATAGGATGAGCACGGCACACTTTATAGTGAAACGAGAATAAAACCTGTTGGACAGATAACAGATGTAAAAAGGAATGATTACTGTTTGTTAACATTGACTTTAAAAGCCAGATGTGTTCATCTGACCAGGAACAGTTTGATTTTATTTGTATTTTTGTCCTTTTTGTGAAATTACCAGGCTGCAAAACAATTTACAAGACAACGTAAGATGATATAACTAAATGCTAAAACAAAATAAAGAGAYGCCACCAATACCGTTTTACGCCCTCCATTAACCCTCCACACCTTGTAATCAAAAGGCAAGCTCCCCATAACCACTCCATAACCCATTGTTGATTTTGTCACCCAATCAGTCACGAGCTGGTGCTGAGATTACATTACACTTTCACAAAATCTTTTCTAACTCCTCAACTTCCTTTTTAACATTACGTTGTTCGGCTTAATCTCAGTTTGTTTTACTCTTTAGTCTCTTTTGCACATCCTCTCACCCTCCTCTACATGCTTTTGCCCTTCACAAAGATGGAGTAAAGAAACCTCACGAGAAACAGCTTCCTCTTTTCAAAACAGATCGCTTCATGTGTTCTTTCACTTTTTAAAAACGAGTAAACCAACTTCAAGAGAAAACAGCGTCCCATGGTTTTTTTTCTTCCTCTTTCCACACACGGTTTAACATTTTACATTTTTCTCAACAAAACAACGAAAATCAATGTGAATATAAAGCATCGCAGGTAATACGAGAAGTTTTTTTTTCTCTCTCTCTGCTGTAAATTATGGAGCCTTCCCTTCTCTCTGCCTTCTGTTCCTTCAGTCAGAGTAAAAACACATCTGGCTATTTCACTTGGAGTTGATTACGTTGGATTATTTCAGTGTTGTTGTGCAATCGAATAAATTTTAAAAGCGCATATCTTGAGGAATAAAAATTAATAGAAATCAAATCCTGTTTTTCATGCATTATTACTACTACATACGTATAATATATTAAGTTGCTTTTTATTTAATTTTTTTTAGTTTTTTTTTTAGTTTGTTTGTTTACTGCAATGAACAATAAAGAGGCAACGGTTAAGGTTTATACTAATCTAGGAGCGGCTGGTTCCTAATAGYGGATTGGGTTGAAAACTTACAGGTTCAAACAAAATAAACCTGCAGGTCTGCTTCGGGTTGACAAATGTAATGGTGTTTGACTTAAGCTGCAGTACTAATGCCCCCAGAGTAAACAAAGCCTCCCCCAGACTGATGGGGAGTTTAGTGACAGATGTTACGCTTGCTGGGCTGGTGAAGGAAGGTGTTTCTAGCGTGGGCTGCATGGCGAGGGGCCTGCTCCCTCGTACGGTTTTGGCGCTGGATGTGGTTGCGGCTCAGATGGCGCCGCTCCATGCGAGCTTTGTAACGCTGGACCCGGGCCACCTGGGTGACCTTGGCCAGAGCACCAGCCTGCGTGGCTGCTCCACGGCTCACCCTGGTGGGCATGGCCAAGGGCGCGACTGGTTCAGACCCCCTGCTGCAAGAGAAAAGCGAGCAATGAAAATTCAATAAGTGGCAGGATTTTATTATTATTATTTTTTTTACTATTCATGATGAAGTAGGTGAAAACTGAGTTCAGCACTCGTGAATATTTCCCACCTCATGCTGCTGGCCAGGCTGACGAGGCTCTCCTCCCCCACCACAGACAGGCTGCTGTTGGAGACCATGGACAGAATGTTCGGGGAGACGTACACAGACATGCTGGGGTGCTCTATGAGGAGGTCCTCCATTGGACTGGCCTCTGCTGTGGCTCCCTCTGCAGTGAAACAGGGGGGAGGGGTGACAAACCAACTCTCATCCATGCAGCCTCTCTCTGAGCCTGCACTACTGGTGCCCCCACTGCCCCCGCACTCACTCCCAGACCCTGGGGACATCGACGGGGTAGACGAGGGCACGGACAGTCTGGCCCTTCTTGGTAGGCTCACGGGTGTAGCACCTAAGTGTGATGGGCTAAAGCCGGGACAAGACAGGGGGTCTGAAGATGCTACTGTACCCCGTCTTCGACCTTTATGTATCCTCTGACGCTTGTGGGGTGGGCGGGGAACGGGGGCCAGGCCGTCAGTTCTTGTTTGGGAGTTTCTGTGACCTGATGGGTCGGGGAATGATTGTGCAACCAGTAGAGTTCCTGTTTCCCCCTCCACCTGCATCATGCAGTCAGATCCTTCTGAGCACATGGCAAGGATGAGGTCGGGGAGGCCAGTGGAGACATTTCATTTTGAGCCRGTGAAGGGGGTGGAAATTGCAAAAATATTTTGCAAATTTGGCAGTTTTTTTTTTTTTCAAAAACCCATGCAGGACGAAGAGGGTCATTTTTTGGAAGGGGGTCACATACGCACGTGCACACATACCGGTGTGGGGAATATGGAGGAATTTAACAAAATTGGAAGAAGGGGAGAAAAAGAGGGGTAAGGAAACACAAAACATAAAGGAGTCACATTGTTAGTTGTGCTGACCCTCTATGGTTGTGATTATGTCAGAGACAAAATGTTTGTCTTTTCRAGAGACACTGTCATGTTCTCTTGTTTGGCTGGCTCTAGAAACAGTACCAAAACAAAATTTTCCACACAGCAATGTCATGACCATTTCATAAAAAGAGTGGAAGATGATAATGTGCTTCAATCATTTGAAAAAAAACAAACACTTTTTTTGTCAGTTGTGCCGCACCCAGACTGATTATTCACCTTGTTCCTTCATCACCACCTCTAGTCTTTCAGAACTACACATGMTAGAAGCTACACAATTCAACTACAACCCCAATTGTGAAAAAAGTCGGAACATTGTGTGAAACATAAAGAATAATAACAACCAGAGTGCAGTAATTTGCCAATTTTATAAACCCATATTTTATTCACAACAGAACATAGTAAAATGTTGAAACTAACAGTCTGTAGATGTCTAGGAACTGTGGACACTAGTTTCTGGAGTTTTTGTTGTCCCTTATAGTTGTCTAATAGGTTTATAGCCGTTCATTCCTGGGTCTACTTTGCTAGAATCTTTGTGATATGATGCACCAAATGCTTTCAGTTGCAGGCCAGTTCAACACCTCGGCTCTTCTACTGCAAAGCCATGCTGTTGTAATAGAAGCAGTGTGCAGTTTGGCATTGTCTTGCTGAAATATGCAAGGCCTTCCCTGAAAAAGATGTTGCCTAGATGCGAGCATATGTTCTAAAATTAGTACACTTGTTTTTGTTTTTCTAGTTTTCATTGAGCATGTTTTGCTGTCATCCTCCCTTCACTGGCTCCCAGAATAGATTTTAAAATTCTCCTGGCCTATAAATGCCAAAATGGCCTTACACCCTCCTATACATCTGACCTACTTCAACCTTATGCTCTTTCTCAGGCAMTGAGGTCATCTGATCAGCTGCTGTTGTCATCCCAAAAAACAGGTTGAAGCTCAGTTGAAGCCCCTAAGCTTTGGAGCAATCTGCCCCTAAAATAAGACAGACYTCCTCACTTCCGGTTGTTRAAKCTCTTTCAAAAACACATCTGTTCTCGCTGACTTTTAACCAAGTATGAGTTGTTTTAGTATTTTTATTGTGTTATGTTCTGTATTTATTTTCTTCTGATGCTTTTAGGTTCCTTTCTTTTCATTTACTCTTTTATTGTTCAGCACTTTTGTAGYGACCTGTTGTTTTATAATGTTCTTAATTTGACTTGACTTGATTGATGGCATCTTTTCAGGTGTATTGGCTGTCCAYGCACACCCCATACCATCAGAGAGGCAGGGTTTTGAACTGTGACCTGGTAATAGGCTAGGTATCTTTTTTTACTACAGAAGACATTGTGTCCGTGTTTCCAAAATGAATTGGAAAWTTTCATTGATCTGACAACAGCTTTGCACCTTGCCTCGAAGTGACGTTCATAACAGAAACAGACCTGTTTTCATTGCAGCGCCGTCTGAGGGCTTACAAAGCACAAGTGGTAATATTGACTTTCAACCTTGTCCATTGAGCACAGAGGTTTCTTCAGATAATTTTTTTACCTTATTGAGTGAGGATGATGGAATAATCAAAGTGTTCCCAATTTTCACTGAGGAACAATTGTTCCACTGTTTAGACAGGTTTTTTTTTTGTTGTTGTTTTTTTGCAGTCTGGTGAACCTCTGCCCATCTWTACTTCTGGGAGATTCAGCTTCTCTAAAATGTTCTTTTCATACCCAGTTTTCTTACTGACCTCTTGCTAATTAATTAATTAGTTTTAAAATGCTATTCAYATCCACCCCTTACTTTTACAGAGAATGATATATGGTTTTTCCCAATGTCCCAGCAGTTTCAAATTTGGGGTTGTAATTATTACAGCAGGTTTGAGTTAAAATGAAACTSCAAGCTCTCCACTGACTCACCAGTCAGGTTGACGAGCATCCATCCTTCCTCGTCGGCCTCYGTCACACACGGACCGGGTCCTTTCAGCTCAGCCGTCACCTCTTCCACCTCCCCAAACAACAAGTTGCTAAGACGCTGAAACATTGCTGCTCGTGTTTTTCGTTGATGAGTGTATTGTGTTTAACTGACGACAAAGAAAAAGAACTATAGCTGCCTTTTTTGTGTTAGTTTAATGCTGCTGCTCTTTGCCTGATTTTATTGTTTCCACTTAAAGCCCTGTGTTTGATGTTGAAAAAAAAAAACAGGACTAAACAGGCTTCTGTAGTGCAAATGTAAGGTTTCACTTGGTTTGGAACAAAGGCCTGAAGAGAAAGAGAGAAAAAGAATAATTAGTCACCATAAAAACAAAATGTTCTTCACCGACAATACAGTGGATATCATTTGCTGACACACAGTACAGTTTTACCAACAGTTTGTTCCATTAAAACACAAGACACAATTTAAGAATATTTTGATAAAATAAACATTTTGTATAAAATAAAAAGTTTCAGTACGCTTTACAAAGATTAACCTAAAATTCATTACTTCACTTTCAGTTTGATGCATTTATAGTTACAAAGGATAAATTATCAGTGGATTTTTTAATGAATGTGAACTTAAGATACTTAATTTTTAATCAGAATACTAAAAAACATACATTGATCGGCTCACATGTTCATATTTATTTCATGCATACATTAGCATAAATAAATCTTGGGATGTGCATGTGCAGCTTTCACTCATACTAATGTTTGAATCACAAGATTTCAGCTGCATACGACAAACTATATTTCTGTTTTGGTCTAAGAATGACTTGTTATATAATAATACTGTAATGCATTAACAGAGTGTTAAATCATGCCCCAATAACTAGGGATATAAAAGGAGAGTGATTCATGAAAAAAAAGAAAWGAATTAACCAGCAAAGAGCTGGTTAGACAATGACACATCTCCCTTCCCCCATTAGATTTAGATAAATGATCAGCACCATCTCAAGGCAGATGGACGGGCCAGAGAGGAGGAAGAGGAGGAGGAAGGGGTGAGAGAAGGTCACGAAAAGACAATAAGCACAGTTCATGTGTTAACTTGCAAAAAAACAAAAAAGTCAGATACTGTGGCAGCAGCTGCTAYGACAAAGGACAAGTATCTGACTTACAAATGACGATGATGATGTAATGACGAAGGTTTGRACAAAAAATTTATTGGAGAACATTTAAATGTCTAAAAGGTCATGTTTTGTTTTCCTAAACCATGAGTGATCCACTTTAAATAATTAATTTGTGCCATTAGATCTGCAGTTTTGATGAAAAAAAAGTTTGTTTGTTTGTTTGTTTGTTTGTTTGTTTGTTTGTTTGTTTTACTAGTTATGTGTTTCTTTATCACAATCCCCCCTGATGCAGATATCAGGAGTAGCAATGTGTTCAGATTACATTGGAGCAGCAAATATACATTTTGTGTTAAATAAAATGAAATATGTGTATTCATTGTGAAATCACATGAATGACATCATCTATGGTTAACTAAATAGTTGTTCTGTGTTGTCAGAACTCTGCAGGGGAGTAAACTAAAGTGTTGTGATCTTTAACACTGATATTGATTTTAATGCATTACTAAACCAACAAAAAAAATGAAGTAATGCGACTGGAATAAATTCAACTAAATGCACTCAAAGACCTTTGGACTGCACTACATGTTCAGCAAACCCCTGATAAAACCTTCTGCTTATCAGTATGAGATAACCTGAACTTAAAGAGTGTAAAGACAACTAATRATACTGGTGTGAGTAAAGTAAATATGCTGATGTGACTTCTGGGAACATTATTAGTTTCATGAAATTAAAGTCATACGTTATTATTACTTTTTTTGCTGACCTTATTTCACAAGCTGAAAGATAAACTTGGTGAGGTTTTCTGGAACTCGAGATAAACTCGAGTCATGCACGCTCTTCTGCAACTCCTTCTTTGCATAAACCCTCATCCCTTTTTACATCCAGCAGGCAATGACTTGCAAATGAAGACATTTATAAGAYGTGCTGAGCTTTAAATGGACATCCCTTTAATCAAACTTGTTGCATTATTGTATTTTAGGATTCTTTTGTTTCATTCAGTCTGAACAAAAACCTGAAAGGCAGGAATATGGTGCAAAACACTACAGCAAGGAGCATTATTGTTATTTTTATTGAATAATGATTCACTTTTACAGTTTGCTTTTTCAGTTCGTTCAGATGTGTGCTAAAATCTAAAATTATTTTCTTGACAAAAATACATATGTTAAATTCCTTTGGTCATTGATCTCACTGAAATTGGCTTCAGCTCTATTTACATGGTACTTTTAGCTTTAGCAGGGCCTTTTACCACCTTTAGCTTTTGTTAAGGCTCTTGCAATCTTTAACTAATTTGTTGCTTTGTTTATCTTGCTAATTGTTGCTTTTTGTTACAATTAGCTTATGTTTTGCTACTTTTATCTAGCTTTTTGCTACTTTTGGAATTCTGCTTCAGCACCCGCGTTAAAAAAATGTATAAGTCATTCAGCACTCGACAAACACAACCCCCTAATAATAATAATAATAATAATAATAATAATAATAATAATAATAATAATATTATTATTATTATTATTATTATTATTATTATATTATTAAGTTATTTGAGAAGTTAGGAATATCGTAATTTATTTTGCATGTTTGTTCATAAAAGTACAAATATTAAAGGTGTAATAAAAGAATATATCATGAGTTAAGTGTCTTCTTCCGGTGTGAAGTGGGAGGAGAGGAGGTAGTGGGCGGAGCCTTCTCAATAAAAAAAACAAGAAACCAGTGACGTCACGACGCAGACCGAGGCTTCAGTCTTCGGTCTGTTTTGACCGGCGGAGGAAAGAAAACGAAAGACTTGACAGCAAAAACGACAAAACACCAGATGTTTGCAGCTGCGTGTTTAAAACCGACGATGATTTTAATGTTTTGGTTTGAATTCTTCGGCTCAGATTCATCACCGAGTGAAGGTTTGATCGCACTGCCTTTATAGAAAAAAAAAAGGCGATATTTACGTCTGAAATCATAAAGGCGTGCCTAATGTTTTACGTAGCCTGAAATAAAACTCCAGTTTTTAAAGGCGCCGAGAGTGTCTGTAGGTTAAACAGGTTACAGATGAATTATATGTAAGCTGTGCAGCTGAAGGGTCAAAGCAATGACAGCTGAGCTTTCCACACCGGATGGGCTTCTTGCTCACGCAACGAAGCTCTCGGGGGATTGTTCATCTTTCTCCCCGAGACAATTGTTCTGAAGCAGGACCACCATCCGTCATCGACACATCAGCATTTTGCTGCAAAAACAGCTGCTGCCGGCGTCGCATTACAGCCAAGCCGGTTTCATCTCACCTCCCCCACCCCCGAGGATGTTTTCAGGACGTCGAATAATAAAAGGCTTTTTTAGTTTTGGGCCGCCGATTCTGCTCGCAAATATACCCCTAATAATAAATCATCACTGGTTATGACACAGCAGTGAACCACAATGTGGGTCACCGGCAGACAAAGCAATGTAATCCCTTCAGAACTTCATGTTCTCCTGTTTTAATTCCTGCAGACAGGCTGCTGCATGTTTCACATATGGAGAAATGAATCTATAAGCAASGCGGAAGAAAGCGCTCTGTCGGAGCACAAAGACAATAAACCATGTCAGGAATAAATCTGGATTACAAAACACACACACACTTACCTGCCTTTGAAGGATTATTCAAGTTGTAAACGAGATCTCACTGTAGAAACTCTTAAAGCACAGCTTTAGGTAGCCTTTATGTGAGGTAGCTAAAACACTATTGTACAAAAATAAGGCTTTCTTCTTAGAAGAAGGGCTTCGTGTAAAAAAAAATTACACTGTTCCTATATATATATGTATATTTTCAGATCACAACATCTGCAGCATCCTCTCCCTGCCCTCTATATAATTCTTCTCTCCGCTGCAGAAATTCCTGTTTACTGCTGCCTCCAGCTGATCCGCAGATCAGAATGTAGAGCGTACAAAACAGCTGATTGTGAGATCACAGCGCTCGGAGGCCCCGCCCACAGACCCGCCCACTCCATCCAAACCAACCAATGGGAATATTACACCCAGCAACGAACCCGAATCCTCTTGGTAACAGGATGAGCTGCGGGTGGAGGGGGTGCGTGGTTTATAAGCTGTCAACCCGGAGCCCAGAGGGAACCGATCCCAGGTCAGCCTACAGGTTCTGGTTGTTGGAAGACACACGAGGGGGGCGGGATGCAAACTGACCCAGGGTCTGCTCACAGATCTGTTGTCAGCAGTCATTAAACCTGTCAGCCTGATGATTAATAAATGAATTCAACTTTAGAAGAAAGGTAGAAGCTGCTGCGACAGGTCTGTTATTCTACATCTGCAGAAAATGTTGAGTTTTATTTAGAAAAAAAACTTATTATATCTGTTGCATAGATAATACTGTTCTAATAGTAAAAACATAATCACCTAGTGTTTCTTCAGTGATGCTGGTGATGTTACTTTAAATTTTATATGTAAATAGAGTCCATTCCCTCCCTCTCTCTCTTTCAGTCCAGCCTGAATGGGGAGGGCCTTAATGTTCCTTTCAGTCTTTATCAACCAGTCATATTGACCTTTTTTATGAATGCAGTGTCTATAGGAGCCAATAACCTTTCTGTTTTTTTTTTTTTATCAGTCCCTGGTGGTTCCTGAGAGTTTCCACAGCCTTTTTTATGTGTGACAGATTATGCAAAGAGTTGAGAGCTCAGATGATTTTCCAGGTGCCCAATTATCTGATTCTGATGAAACCCATACAGAGCGATGCATTGTGCTCTGTGTTCTGTTTTCATCATATTCTGACTGTCAGCTGGGTCTCAGTCCAACAGGAAGTGTCAGCACCCTAATTTGAATGTTATAACTTCAAATAAAAACAGTGAAGCCTGCCTAAAAATACTGTTTGTACCAAACACAGCTGAAGGTGAAGATATTTCCATCCCTGACTTTGTGTGGATGGACTGATCGCTGAATAGATTTTAATGAGACATTCTGAAATTTATAATTGGATGTACACACATGACACATTTTTAAAAATTGATCCATTTTAAGATGGCTGCACCAGATAATCAAAGTTAGCCAACACAAAATCCATAACTCTGGTTCATCCGTAGATGTTGACCTAAAACTTGATGTGGTAGTAGCTGAGAGTCGTTCTGAGTGTGACATCACATGGGACTGCAGATTATTCTCAAGCTTTATCCATAATGTCTACAACTCTGTCATTTCTTAAAGTGCCTGTGACATTAAATTTTTGTGGTAAATGTAATTGCGCTTTTGGAAAGATAACATAGATAACATATAGCGAAAGCAATTTCACACCACTGAGACAAACAGTTGTTGAGATGTATGCATGTGAAGGAACAGGAAGTRATGACAAAGGGGAATGTCTGAATGTAAACAGAGCATTGCTACAACAACTAACAACATACAGACAGCAGTGAATTTTATGATTTTTTAGATAATTTTAGTCCTTATAAGAAAGAAATGAAGTAAAGTCAAAGCTCAAATAATATTGTTTTAATAAACAAAGACAAGGGATTTTTCTTTCTTAAAGAGTTCCCCTTTGATGTCACTTCCTGTTTCACTTTGGCTGAGCCCAATTCAAAGGAAAACATGCCATTTATGTGATGAAAGGGGTTAAATCATGTGTTTTATGCCAATTTTCCTAAATAAGAAGATATTTTCTTTGACCTTTTGTATTTGAAGGATAGGCATGTCACTGGCACTTTAAAATACGATGATCTCAGTCTAAAAGCGCAAAAGCTAAGTCTTTAGTTTATTCATTGTTTGCTTTCATGAAGCTTATTGTTTTGCATCCAGCTTATTTCTTCCTCTTAAAAAGCCAACTCCTAAAATGTTATTGGACAAAAGTTTGGAACAATGGAAAAACTGAGATGTGATGCACTGAGGTCTTTGCTGGACTGTTATTCAAGGATAGCAGTTTAACACACCCCCGTCAGCTAAATGTTTGTTTCCACACAGTCGAGACTTTTGTATTGTAAGAATGTGAGTGATGAAGCCAGTCTGATTAGAAACTGAAAACAGATGAACCCCACCTGTCTGGATTGCYGCTCTGTGTGTCACTCAGGTTTCCTCGTACGCTTCCTGATGCAGGAGTCGACAYGTAAACGGCTRCTTTGCTGAGGGAGCTAAAAMCAAGTTTGATGGGAGGTAAGTWTTTTTTTTTTTTTTGGCCTAAGCAGATTGCTGGGTTACTCAGGCATACACGTGCAGACATAAACACAAACACTTCCATAATGCAGTGGTAATTACATCCTGACTCCGGTACAACAAAAAACATTTAGTGAGACATCTATCTGTCCACGTTTGTCCTCTCCAGCTTCAGAAGTCACATTGTGTAGCACTTGTTCKGTTGTGTTGTCATGCTGGTGGTTACACTTTATTATCTATCATTTRAAACAGATGCATGCCAAGACATCAGTATTTACCCAGCAATTAAAGCCGTAGCAGTGCTTGAAGGAATGCATATCGCCTGCCCCGTTATAACTGAATGAACTGAAGAACACATGGAGTGGAGGTGCTGCTTTTTTATTGTCTGCCTTTTTCGTAGTTTTCACTGAGGCTGTATGATTCTAAGCTAGTTGGTGAATTAGGTGATAGGTCACAGCATTATTTTCCACTTCCTGCTTCAGTTTTACTCCCAGCCATCGATGTGACCCACCGCTCTCGTCTAACCTGCCCTGGACAATGCTGACAAAAGATAACCATTAAGTAAGGCAGGTGGRAGTATTTGCAAGGAAATGTTCTACAAGAGTCAAAGAAAGATGAGGGGTCAGAGTTCACACTTGCTTTTGATGCAGCAGCATGCTCTCTATTTTTTTTTCCTTTTGGGCCTCTTTGCTTCATAGCTGCTGGCTGCTGATAAGACAGGAGATGCAGGATGCACTTTGTGTTGCAACAACCTGTTTTAAATACTTAATTTTTACTTTTACATCCATAAAACAAGATTCTATGTCCAGTGTCTTACAATATACAGTATATCAGTGATTTGATGTTTTTTTTGCAGCTTAAAAATCAAAGTTAACAATAAAAAAGCAATTAATGACTTTTTTGATTTGACCGCTGAATGCTGAATTGTAGCTAAAAGCTAAATGATAGCAAAATATATATATAAAAGTAGCAAAATGTTAAGCTAAAGGGTAGAAAAATATAAGCTAAATACTAAATTTAACAAAAGGCTAGCTAAAAGCTAAAAGTAGAAGAATGGTAGCTAAAAACTAACTGGTAGCAGAATGCTATTAATGCTAAAAGTCACATAGGAATASTAAAATAAAGTAAATATACTGAAGCAGATTTCAAACAGAACAATGTTTTCAAAGAACTTGAAGAGATCTCAACATATTTTTATGAGGAAAATATTCATAAATCAATAATATCCACCTTCTCCTGAATAAGCTGAAGTTTTGGTATGGAGCTAAATTGGGGTCATAAGGTTTGTTCAAAATAAAAATAATTTGAAACTGAAAAAAAAAAATTGAAACTGAAAAGACAAGATGTTTGAAACATTTCCAGATTGTAATGCATTGTTTTTCAGTTTCAATTTTTTTTTCAGTTTCAAAATTATTTTTTTCAGTTTCAAAATTGTTTTTCAGTTTCAAATCTCCTTTTTTTCAGTTTCAATTTTTTTTTTATTTTGAACAAACCTTATGACCCCAATTTAGCTCCACATTTTTGTGTCTGGATGACTAAAAAGAAGCACAAATTTTTCAGAAGTAGGTGGAAAACAATGTAATGAATGATGAATCAGCATTCAAACAATYAACAGTGAATTAGAAACTTCAAACCAAAGTCTGACACTGTTTCATCCGACACTGTCTGCTGTCATGTCTGTGGGTCCAGGTCCTGGATAAACGATTCCTCTCTGTGTCTCGTGTTGCACACAGCTTGTCTTTACTCGYACCACTACAGTCCACAGATAACCCCCGGACACATAACACTGCTCTGCTGTTTCTTATTACTCAGCACAGACAGCAGGGTGGTACTTGGTCAGTGGTCTAAATTCCCACGACAAGAGCTGAACTTTTTTTTTTTTTTTTTTTTTTTTTTTTTTTTTTTTTTTTTT